ATATAGAAATGGAATGGAATAGAGTAGAATAGAATGGAATTGGAATGGGAATGGGAATTAGAATGGAATTGGAATGGGAATGGAATGGATTTGGAATGGAATGGAATGGAATGGAATTGGAATGGAATGGAATTGGAATGGAATGGAATGGAATGGAATGGAATGGAATGGAATGGAATGGAATTGGAATGGAATGGATTTGGAATGGAATTGGAATGGAATGGAATGGAATGGAATACACATGATATGATATGAGATTACACAATACTCCATGTTATATAATATGATGTATAGGTCTGATACACTGTGCTGTATGGTCCCATATAGGATACAATGTAATTGCTCTCCCTGAGCTGTGTCTGCACTGTGTGTTGCAGGTGAGGGACCCTGAGCTGGGCAGGAGCCCCCCAGGGCAGCCCAGGGAGCGCTCCCGGAGCCCCCAGGGCCACCAGCAGGGCCACCAGCAGGGCCACCAGCAGGGCCACCAGGGCCAGCAGCAGGACGAGTGCAGCAGGAGGAGCCACAGCAGGCAGTGAGTGGGGCTGGGGAGCCCAGCCCTGTCTGTGGCCATTGATCCTGGCCATTGATCCTGCACCAATCAGTGCCCACAGCTGGCCTGGAGCTCGCACTGTTTCTCTTCTCAGAGCTAAGATTTTGCTCTTTAAGGCACTTCAAACGTATTTTATTTAATTAAAATTAACGTTTTTGCTTCTGTTTCGTGTCTGTGCAGCTGAAGAATATTTCTGCTTATTTAAAACTAAAGCTCACACCTCTGTTCATGCCTGTGGCTTCGTGTGCTTGAATTTCTCTGAAGGTTTTTGATTGAATTCTTGCATTTTGTTCTCTCTCTGAGACACTCAGAGAGGCTCTGGTTTCACACTGCAACACCTGTTATATACAATAGATATAAAATATATAATATAAAATATACAATATACAATAAATGTATAATATAGAACATATTATATAAAATATATAATATATAATATACAATATATAACATACAATATACAATATATAATATATAACCTGTAATGTATATAAATAAAATAATAGATAAGATTATATAAAATAAAATATATAAAATTATATATAATATGTATTTGTAAATTTTATATATTATATATAATATTTATATGTTATATATGTATATAGAATAAATGATATCTAATATATAAAATAAATAGTAAATATATAATAAATACAGTAATAATTTATTTAATACAGATAAAATTATCAAAGCAGGTATTTGTTGTTTGCTGGTGGAATCCCAGTTCTCTTCTAACTGATCATTCAGAGCTAATTCAATTAAATTTAATTTATCTTTAATGGTGAAACAAAGATAATTTAATGAAAGATATATTTATGGTAATAAATATAAATAATAAGTGTATATAATATAATATAAAAATAAAATAATAAATATATAAAAATAAGAAATATATAAATAAAGTAATAAATATATAATATATAAAAATCGAATAATATATAAATATATAAAATAAAATACATAAAATTATATATAATATATTAATATATAATTCTCTTCTAACTGATCATTCAGAACTAATTCAATTAAATTTAAATT